ACCAACAGGTAATTTTGTGGATGCACCATCAGGTGTGACAGTCAGTAACATAAGTGTGTGGATCCTGATGATTTGTTACCAAGTACATCAGCCCGCAACAATGCATTACACGACATGAAAGAAAATGAACTGCCTTTATATGATGACTTTCAGTCTCAGAACATCACAAAGGACTTCGTAGTCAAAGCAATTGTACAGCATAATTGAAATGGAACAACCAATTTACACACAGCAAATGTCCAGAAACAGGAATGAGATAAATGACTAAATAATTTGTTGTTAGTATTGTTGTTGAGGGCTTAATGTTTGTCAGGTAAACAGGAGAAAGAAATCAATAACCTGCCACATGGGAACTATCACATCCCTCCAGGATTGTGCATCTAGGAATGATTTCACAATGGGGAAATAAGAGGAGAATGCAGTCTCGTCACACTGTAAATTTTCAGCTTCTGAGTAAGCATCCTCTCCCTGCACAGAGCAACAGTCAATGTCTGTGTCGCTGATGATAGTGGCATCAAGCATCTAAGAGATGGCATACAGTACCACACTCAAAAGCAGGAGATAGAGCAAGTCTTTCCTTCTTTCATTTTCAGCTTCTCACTCATATCACAACTTTTGACTATCTCTATATTATTTGATTATGACTGTGGCTCTTGCGCAATGAATACAGCTTCCTACGTGGTCTAATCTTTTGTCTGATTTACACTCCGGCATACAGCTGTGGGTTTTCCACATTAAAGGAGCAGACAAATGCAGTTCTTGTTGCATTTTTTCTGACTTCTCATTGCACCCTCTCTATTTCCAGTACCCCAACTGTAAACCTTCCTCTGTATTCCATCTCTCATCTCAAGGTTTTGAAAGTTAAATTTAATAGAACTGAACTACCACAGTTCAATGCGGCCCTTTTCTTATCCATATAGTCTCCTGAACAATGAGCCTAGGCTCTGTGCATTGAAAAGTCAATATTACAAACAAAATTAGCCAAGTACCTCTGTAAGGTTTCTTTTCTTTAAATCCTACCCCCCATCCAGTGCCTCCTTACAGCTGACACTTGCAGACAGAGGGTTACAAATGAATACCATAATAAAAAAACTATTATGTTTGAAGTTCAAAGAGAAGTTTTAATCTAACTCACAAGAACATACCAGTATGAATGTACCTGAACATGTAGATGCAACAAACAGTCCAATAACCTCAGGAAGGAGGGGAGAATCATACTCCGAGAAAGGTGTTATTGTGTCTGATACTTTTAATTATTTTAAACAGATGGCTGTGTGTGGTTTTGGTGTTTGCTTTTAAAAAGAAAGAAAAGCCCTTTGGAGAATTCTGGAGACATACTTCCCCATTAATAGACAACAAAAGGCAAGTCTTGACGATCACATTGCCCTTGATCAGCCAGGTAATGTGGAAAATTGCCTATCAACTATCATTAGAGACTTATAGCCAAGAGAATGTCTAACAGTGGAGTCATGAGGAGCAGTTCACTTCATTTCAGTTACTCAGAGAATTTCTACAAAACAGACTGATAAAATGAATACGTCGAATTGTCTGAATGTGTTGTACATCATCTATGGTCTGAGTGATGACGATGGCAATGAATATTGTTATACCTTACAAAACCTGCTTTCATGCCAATGAGAAACAACAGACAAGTATTACGCAATGAAGTCAGTGAACCAATCACCAAGGCTTCACCTCACACTGAATGATCAGAGACCGCAGACTGCACTGAGGCTCCAGCTCACGCTGAATGATCACAGACTGTGTGTTCTGTTAGCACTTTTCTCTTTGTAAACACGAAGAATAGACCAAAGAATTGAATTAATTTGTCAGCACTCTGGCTGCTTCATCGAAACACTGACAACCTATGTCTCTGCAAAACTCAGTCTGGAAATGCACAGTGCATGTAACTGTGTACTGCGGTTTGTGCTGTTAAAACTGTACAGGCACACTACTTACCTTTACGGTAGACGCTCACTGAAGTGAAGGTTGAGAAATTCAAGTTGATTTATTTTGACATATAAATCAGCAGAATTTAACTTGTACAGAGGATTATTTAATAACTGGCCCATGTAAGGTTAAGCTTCCACAGGTTAATTTTTTGCTCTCACGCCAGTCACCAGAATCACCAAATTCCATCAAAACCTTTTGGAAATCCTAACATTTTAGATTCACATTGCTGAGAATCTCTACTCTGTATTAGAGACACATCCCACCATTCACTCTGCCTCAACCTAGCCTTCTGTAATATAGGTAAACTGGACTCCACTTCTTCTAATCAGCAGCCCACAGTAAAATTCAAACACAAACTCCCAGGAGTGGATCTTACCATATACCGAAATCACAGCCAGGATTAGCCAGGCAGTCCATTCTGGGAGGTATTTGATGAAAACCAGAGCCATAAGAGCACTGATCATGATCAGGTAGGCTTGCTGGAGCCGAAGTGGGCCCTTCCAGTGGATACAGACCATCCCGACCACTCCAAAGTTCCAGATCACCAATGCCAACGTGAAGTAATCCATGGCAACGTTATATGTTTTGAAGACTTCCCTGATGAAGAGAAAGGACAGGGGCATGATTTACTTAATGGAACTAAGCACTTTCCTGCAGGCGCTCATTCTCAACCTCTCCAAACATTCACACTCTGATTCCTCATTTTGAGGATAATGCTGTAATGACATCCAATATGAACACCATCCAGAACAAAGCAGCCCACGTAACTGTGACCTCATCCAATATCTTCAATATTCACTCCCTTTGCCAATGCACAGTAGCTGCAGTATGCTTTCTTTTTGAAATTGGTTGTCATTGGGGAGATCAATTTTTAATCATCCATCCCTAAATACCCAGTGAGCTGTTAAGAGTCACCCACACTGTTGAGAGTCTGGAATCACATGTAGGTGAGACTAGATAAGGATGGTAGATTTTCTTCCCTAAACCGACATTAGCAAACCAGAAGAGTTCTACAACAATAGACAGTGGGCATGTAGTGACATTGTGTGTTCTACAAGATGCACTGCAGTAACTCACAGAGGTCCCTTAGACAGCATTTTGCAAACCAATGACCACTTCCAGCTTGAAGTACATGGGATAAACAGAATCACCACCAATTGCAATACCCCATTCAAGAAAAACATCATCCTGACTTTGAAATATACCATTGTTCCTTAAGTGTTGATGGGTCAAAATCCTGGAACTCCCTTCCCAACACCGTTTTGGGTGTTCCGAGACTCTAAGGACTGTCACCATCTTCTCCACCACAATTATGAATTGGCAGTAAATGCTGGTCCAGTAGCGACAAGCACACCAACACAGAGAATGAATCTCGTATTCCATTCAGCTAATTCTGTGAACCCTGCTAATGACAGATTTGCTGATGGTGGTCTTCTATGAATACCCAACAGCTCCTACAGCTATTTAGGCAAATGGCATTAGGATGTTTACAGCAGGAACAGAATATCAAATAAAAGCCCCAATGCAGTTACACGTCATTGAAAAGGAGGAACTTACCCCAAATAGATGAACGAGAAAAAGAAAAGCAACAAGAGAGACGAGATTATCAACCATCCATGAATGACCTGTTTAAAAGACATCAAGATAGATTGTGAGGTTTCAAATAACAAAAGGCTTGGCTGACATATTTTCCCCCCTCGAAAGGGTCACATTAGTTTATAGAAATACAATTTGATTCTGATCCCTACGGCACCACAATAGGAAAGGGTGCAGATCCTCTATATATCTCACGCTATTTGTCGGAATTTTACATACTTATTCATACTTCTGAGTCTGGGTGCTTAATCCCAGTTGACACTCCAGTGCAACAGTGAGAGAAAGTTGCACAGACAGGAGCTAGTTTTGTTCAGGTGAGATTTTAAACTGAAGTCTCATCTATGTGCCCTCAGCAAAAAGATGGATGTGAATAAAGTAACTTCAGCTTTGTGAAGGAGTTAGAATGGGGTCACCATTGGGATGTTTAGTCTGTAGAAATTACTGAGAGCTGAAATAGGAAATGCTGAAACAATAACTTTATGCACATAGCACAGTTAACATCTTAAGGGTTGAAGAGAAACAACCTTCTAAAGCAAGCTTAACATTGCAAGTATATAACAAACACCAAACGTATTTAAATTTAATTTTGTAAAATGTCCCAAGCTTATTCACAGAAAAATGATAAAACTGAATTTGACAATAAGTCACGCAAGGAGTCATTAGGCTAAGGCAACAAGGTAGACTTTAAGCAGCATCTAAAGGCAGAAGAGAGAAATGGTAAAATGCAGAGGTTCAGGTGCAAATTTCAGAGCTTAGGGCATGGACAGCTGAAGGCATAGCCACCAATAAAGAAGCAATTAAAATCTGGCATGCTGAAGAGGTACATTCAAGCAGGCTGAGGAGATTGACAAGGAGTAGCAAGTGGCACTTAATGTGAACAAACTACACACTAAGGAAGGAAAAGAAACATTGGAAACATAAGACTGATGTCAGTCCCAGTACAATACAGGAGAAGAATCTAGATATGGTACAGCTTGCCTCAGCTTGTATTTATACCACACCCTTACTGTATCTTCAGCATGTAGCAGCAGCAGTAAGAAAAGCTAAATGGATGTTGGAACATGTAGCTAGAAGGGGGAACTGCTGACTGACACACTATCCTAATGGAATCCAGAAACAAACAATTTATATCTCATCCAAGGTCATTTAAAAAGCAGTCACAGATTATGCAATTCACCTTTCCCTGCATTATGTACAGTGTCACAGTCTCAGCAGATATGATTAAAACTGGTCCACTTATGTAGAATACAACTAATTTGATCATTTCATCAGAGCTGCTGCAATCTCCTTTTTGTTATTCCATAAATCAACGGGAAATATACATAGCCACAACAAGTGTATTCTGCGTAGAGAAGGAGACACATACCTTGTAGCACCTGTATTTGTAGAGAAGTACAAGAACAAGTGTCATCACAACAATGACACTGATCATAATGAGGGCATTCAATATGGAGTTTACAGCTCGCTCTCCAACAGTGTCTGTATCTTCTGTAAATGGGGTGTACAACCTAAAGGCAAACATTACACAGTGCTCAGTCCATTCCCATCAGAACAAACAATCTCATCCAGCTGCAGTTTCCTTAGCAAACAACTATTAACAAAGATTCAAGATTTCTCAATATCCCAGTTATTCTACACTGGATACATTTCAGACCACATTCCCAATTTCTGGTAACTCCAAACAGGAATGTTCATCAATAGTACAGATGTTATAGACCAGACCAGAACCCCCCCGCTACTCAAAATATTTTAAGAAGGTAGCCTAGACCCAAACATGGCAAGTGTAAAGTGTCTGTTCCAGATGCAATGCAACTGGTCAAACTACTCGATGTTAAACAAAACAAAATTTATTTAAACACTGCAGTCAAAATACATTCAAAGAAAGAGGAATTTAGAATAACAACTCTATTGGAAACTTAACAAAATAATAGATACGGTATCTATTACTAATTAACTGTTCTAATATAGTAACATCCCATAAACAGACCCCTTGGCAAAAAGAAAAATTCAGGCACAGATTCTCACATGCAGCTCTCCAATCCAGGTGGAAAAAACATCAAGAGAAAATTCAGAGATAGTAGCAGTCAGGAGACATTCACTGAAGCTCCCAAACTCTGTTGAGACCCCAATAGCTTCTGATGCTACTGAAAAAAACCAAAACCCAGACATCTGGATCTGTGAGAGCTGGCCACACCCATTCAGGCTGTTTTTTAAAAAAACCCAAGGATTCCCAATCTGTTTACTCAAGTCGTTTTCAGTAGCCAGCTTGACACCTCTGCTTTACAACCACAAAAGAATAAAAGAAAAAGTAGGACAAAATAACCTCTCGAAGTGACAGCATCATCACATAGGGCACAGAGACCCACCTCACTTTCCTTTGTACCCCAGGGGTATCACCATATTTTTATTGTCATAATGTTAGGCTCAGGTTCTATTTATTTCTAGTAAATCATACCAGTGATTATTCTTCTCAATCACAGTGATATTACATGACAAGGATAAACTATAACCCCAGAGATTAGCCCCATGTATAATTATCAGAATCCACTCAATTCACACCAGATCTGATGAAGATCGTTGACCTGAAACATCAACTGTCATTCATCTCTCTCAACATCAGCTGCTGAGTTTTCAAACCTTTTCTGCTTCGACTTTAGATACCCTGTATGTCAGTTCAATCTACTCGACCTCGTTGTAACTCACTCAGGTCCCACATGCTCAATTCAACTCTTTCTAGGCCAATAGTGGCCAAAATCTTGTAGGCTCTGAATAATCAGAGATCAGATATACCCAGGAAGAATGCTACAGGACATCTCAAAATTCTTGATGCACGGACTCCTTGGAAATTGCCCAAGAAACCTAAACTTCTGGCGGACAACAGACTGGGACCCTGAGAAAAGGTCTCAACCTCAGAGATAGTGTGAGGGGCTTTGAACAGTTTTGACTCACTTACCTGGATACTGATCCAGGAAATGGCAGACAGGAGAAAACCTAGAACTCCACCACTCCCCAACCCCAATCACTCAACTTGATGCTCATGACACCCACCTCGAGTTCCTGACTATTTCTGACCCGACGACCCCAAACCCATCTCCTACCATAATCCTATTCATCAATCTAACTAGTTTACTGGTTTAATCAGTGTTGAATAAAAAGTTCAATTTTCTGCTTTGAAATTTTACCCAGTCTGGGAATAAATGCCAGTGCTTGTCTTGCTCTGTTTAATATATTTTAAAACTGCATTGCTGCTGCTGGCAATGTGCACCTGTTCTCCCAACTCTTCCTCCTCCAGTATCCCATTTAGACACTTCAGTCCAAATCTTCTGATCTAGGTCACAATCGGTCTTCCTGACCTAGATCAGACAAACGTAACTACTTGTTTTCCCTGGTTTTTTCCTGACTGGATCTTCAACACAGGGTGCATCCCAACAGACAAAGTCAGGCAATCTCACAGACATTATTAGCAATAGTCATAACCCTTCTGCATGGGACTAACTGCCGTATTCCAGAAAGTGAATAGCTTTTAAAAGATCTGAAACCTTCTTTAAAAGGCTATGGAAATAAGGTGAGTGGGGGCAAAGTGCCAGACGGTAAAGGGGCAGTGTTGGTTGCAATTGGGATGGGAGGCAGCGGAAGGAGAATCTGATGGTGAGGGAGAAGAGTTTGGCCGTCAGTTTGTGAAGAGGGTTGGGATATTGGTGGTCAGTGAATGATTGGGGCAGGAATATCAGTGGTATTGTTACTGAAGCATTTAAGCAGCTTTTGATCTTCTAACCATTCCCAGGTTACCGAGTTAGAAAAGTCTGAAATCTCAGGACAGGGAAACTTCCCACAGGAAGCGTAAACTTCTGGGCATGCTCTCTTGTGGGCAATATTGGGACTTCCAATGGGTCCTGATGCATATCTTAGAAGGCAGAACACAGAACTGTACAGCATAGGAACGGGCCCATCGGCCCACAATATTTTGCTGAACATGATGCCAAATTAAACTAAACTCTTCTGTTTGCCCTTGGTCCATATCCCTCCATTCCTCACACGTGCTTATCTACAAGTTCCTTAAATGCCCCTATCTCATCTGCCTCCACCACCACTCCAGGCAGTGTTTTCCAGACTTCTACCACACTGTGTAAAAAACTTGCCCCTCTCGCCTCCTTTGAACATTCCTCCTCCCACCTGAAATGCATGCCTCCTAGTATTAGACATTTCAACTCTGGGAAAAAGATACAGATTGTCAACCCTATCTATGCATTTCCTAACTTTAGACTTCTATCAAGTCTCCCCTCAGCTTCCATCACTCCAGAGAAAACAACCCAAGTTTTTCCAGCCTTTCCTTATAGCTCATACCCTCTAATCCAGGCAGCATCCTGGTAAACCTCTTCTGCACCCTCTTCAAAGCCTCCACATCCTTCCTGTAATGTGGTGACCAGAATTGAATGTATTACTCTAAATGTGGAGAAACCAAAGTCATATAAAGCTGCAACATGACATCCTGACTCTTGTACTCAATTCCCTAAGCAATAAAGGCAAGCATGCTATATGCCCTCATACCACCCTATCTACTTGCATGGTCACTTTCAGGGAGTTATGGACTTGAACCCGAAGATCCCTCTGTACATCGGTACTGTTCAGTGGCCTGCTATTAACTGTACAATTTTCCTTAACGTTTGATCTCCCAAAGTACAACACCTCACATTTACCCAGATTAAAGTCCATTTGCCATTTCTCTGCCCACATCTGCAACCGACCTATATCCTGCTGTATCTTTTGACAACCTTCTACACAATCCATAACTCCACCATCTTTGTATTGTCTGCAAACTTACAAAAAAACCATCTACGTTTTCATCCAAATCATTTATATATATCACACAGCAGAGGCCCCAGTATGGATCCCTGCAGAACACCACTAGTCACGGACATCCAGGGTGAAAAATGCCCTTTCGCCACTACCCTCTGCCTTCTATGAGCAAGCCAATTCTGAATCCACGCGGCTAAGTCTCTGTGGATCCCATGCATCTTAATCTTCTGGATGAGCCTACCATGAGGGAACTTATCAAAAGCCTTACTGAAATCTACGTAAACAACATCAACTGCTCTACCCTCATCGATCATCTTCAATCACCTCCTCAAAAATTTCAATCAAGTTAGTAAGACATGACCTGCCCTGCACAAAGCTATGCTGACTGTCCCGGATTAGGCCATGCTTTTCCAAATGTGCATAAGTCCTATCCCTAAGAATTCTCTTCAATAGCTTCTCAACCACCATTGTGAGACTTACCACTCTATAGTTTCCTGGATTATCCCTATTTTCCTTCTTGGAGAGAGGAACATTAGCCACTTGTCAGTCCTCCAGAACTTCTCTAGTGGCTGGTGAGGATACAAAGATCTTGGTCAAGACACCAGCAATCTCATCTCTTGCCTCTCTCAATAACTTGGGGTAGATACCATCAGGCCCTATGGACTTATCCACCATAATACTCTTCAAGAGACCCAACACCACTTATTTCTTAATCTCAAAATGCCCTATCATATTAGCATGCTCCACACAAATCTCACTACCTTCCATATCCTTCTCCTGGGTGAATACTAACACAAAGTACTCATTTAGGATCTCACATAGTCTGCCTCCGAGCACAATTTCTCTCCATTATGCTGGAGTGGTCCTACCTTCCCCTTGGTCATCCTCTTGTTTTTAATGTATGTATAGAATTCTTGGGATTCTCTTTAACCCTACTTGCCAAAGTCATTTCATGGTACCTGCTTGAGTTCTTTCCTGCTTTCTTTATATCCTTCACTGACACTGTCCAATTTTAGCTTCCTAAACCTTATTTATACTTCTTTTTTCCTTTTGACTAAATCCACAACATTATCCAAAGGTCCCTTATCTTGCCATTCTTGTCCTTCCTCCTTACTGGAGCATACTGGTCCTGAACTCTCATCAACAGGTGTTTAAACAATTCCCACATGTCAAATGTGGACATCAGATGTGGGCTTTCCTGATAACAGCTCCTCCCAATTAACACTCCCTAGCTCCTGCCTAACACGGACGTAATTTGCTCTCCAATTTAGTACCTTGCCACAAGGTCCTGATTTATCTTTTGGGGTAGATTCAGTCTCCAATTATCTAGGAGACTAGAATATAGAGGCCTTTGTTTCTAAGGAGCATGTGATCTCTTTATTCTGCAACTTGAGTAGAACACCTCACAATTCTTGAGACTGAAGTTGATTTGATGATTACAAGCCCATTTAAAATGCATCATGTCATGATTCTTTTGTATTAACTGTACCCTTGAAATCATTTCCCCAAGTCCACAGCAATGTAAATCCGGAAGAATTTCTTACCCCGGGCCCTGTGGAATTCCATTTCATATCTATAGCCAGTCCGAGGAACTACCCTGAACCCTGTTTTCGGTTTGGTAGCAGTTTACTACCCAATTTGTTTTCTAGAACAAGATCCTGAATCCACACAATTTAACTTTGATTATGAGCCCATGGTATTAATCAAAAGGTCATGCAAACATCCAAATGTATTACACCTTCCACATTAAAACCGTCTCAGCAGCAATCTTTTCTTTCACTGGGGTTAAGCTAAGTTGTCTATAGTTCCCAGCTCTTTGATCTATCCCCCTTTATGAAGGGGAAGCATTATGCACCCTCAAGATCTGTCATTATTCCTTCTAATGACAATGAAATAACAGTCCTCTGCATCCTTCCTCAATTTGTGTAGATGCAGTCTACTGGGGCCAAGAATTTTATCCTCCCTAAGAATGATAAGCTTATGTAGTCTCTCCACCTTTTTCTCTCTTGTGCCTTTAGTTGCGATTGGATTTTCTTATCCATTCATGGTGTGTCATTGTTAGTTTCTTCTCAATTTTTACTGGGTATCTTGCTCCTGGTGTTGATTGATCATTTTAACTACTGTTAAATCTGAACTACTGTTCAACCTGGGTTTGCTAATAAAAATTTCCAGTTTATCTTTAGTTCTGCTGTAGTTTCCTGATTTGGTTTTTGTTTTTATTATGTCCTTCTCAAATGTAAAATCTGTATCTGTATAGTTGCCTTAATGTGTTAAAATCCTGAGGCTTTTCACAGCAGCATTACAGAATAAAACACGACACTGAAGTCAGGTGATGAGAAGCTTGGTCAAAGGGGTAGGTTCAAGAAGTATCTAAAAAGGAGAGTGAGCTAGAGCGGCAGAGATTGAGGAAGGGGTAATCAGACTTCGGCCATAGGCTACTGAAGCACAACCATAAATGGTGGCATGCTTAAAATCCGGGATGATCAGGAGACCAGAATGAGAGGAGAGCAGCTACATCGGAGGGTTACATGGTCGCAGAAGATTACAGGGATACGGAAGGGTGAGCCCATAGGAGGATTTGAAAACAAGGATAATAATTTTTGATCAAGAATTTGAACTGTTTAACCAGGATTGTCTGTGGGTCAACAGTATGACGGGTGAAAGGCATTTGGTGTAAATTAAGACAGAGGCAGAGTTTTGGATAATCTCAAGTTTATGGCAGGTTGAGTTTAGAAGGACACAAATCTGTAGTTATAACATATACTTTATAGAAATGTACTTAAAAAAGTCAATCTGTCTTTAAATGGGAACAAGAAGTCTTACAAAGAGAAAGGATCTGTACTCCAGACATGGGATAATCCAATATCTAATATAGAAAGCAAGGTTCAACAGTTTGGAAATGCAGCCATTTTTAAGTTTTGAACTGTACAAAGGTTATGCTGTGAGCAACCATTTATGCAGAGATGTCAGGGGAATTACCTGAATACCTAAAGGGAGACAGAGGTAAGTATTCAGGGCTGCTGGACTGAACCAGATTATCTGCAACCACAATGTGCAGTGTAGTGAAAGTGAAAGTCCAGGGATGCTGGACTGATCCAGGCTATGCACAGCCACAATGCGCAGTACCGTAAAAGTGAAAACAAAAGGCCTTCACTCACTCCCAGGAGCTGTTCTGCTCAGTCCACTTGTGGGAACACAACCTCCAATTATTTGACTACAAAAACCAATGCAACGGATTTCTGACTTCATGTTTTCACCCACCATCCAAGCTTTCCTCATTGGATAATGTTTCACCACTGAATGTTCAATTGAGGAAGAGTCAGTACAGTTTGGGGAGGTGTTGGTATAGTGGTAATGTTGCAGGATAGTAATCCAGAACCCCAGGCTAAAGTTCTGGAGACTTGGGTTCAAACGAATTATATAAATCTGAAATTTGAATTCAATAAAAATATGGAGTAAGAAGTTAGCTTAAGAAGTTACCTTACAACATTCTGGTTCATTTATGTCCTTTTAAGGAAGGAAATCTGCCATCCTCACCTGGTGTAACCTATATGTGACTCCAAACCTATGGTTGAGTTTGAAATACCTTCTTGGGAATTAGGGATGGGCAATAAAGGCTGGGTCAGTCAGCAACACCCATACCTCAACAATAAGTTAAGAAAAAGATACAGATCTTTAAATGGCAAGCTCAGTGTATTATATGTACCAGCATAACAGGTCTGCCATCTTCTGGTGGATGTCAGAATGAAATTACACATCCAACATGATGTCTAACAAAATACCAAATTTGAAAGAAAAAATAGCAGAGTTTATAGGAAGACACTAGAGTTTTGTGACATTTTTATCTTAATCATCACTTATGTATTTCTCGCCAATGAACTGCACACTGCAGAACCTCTACACTATCATGCCTTTGGTCTAAGTCTGAAATACAAACAGAAAATATTGGACAAACTAAGTCAACAAGGGTTTGCTGCAATGTTCATGTCAGCCTCAGCACAAGTTTGAAGAACAGCATCTCATTTTTGCTCCTGGGGGCACTGCAGCCTCTAGGACTCAACTAGATTGAGTGAAGTGCAGGTAAATCTCTGCTTCATCCGGAAGGTGTGTCTGGGGCCTTCGACAGTGAGGAGGGAGGCGATAAATGGGCAAGTGTTACACCTTCTGGATCGCATAACATCTTGTGTTTACTATTTTCATATCTCTCTCTCTGGGCTCCATCTTTTCCTATTCGCTCCAATAGTGGAGGCAAAAAAACAGAATTAACATTTCAGGTTGATCATTTTCATCACCACGTTAAACAATTTATGCTAGATGATGAACAGGACAAAGAACTGCAGATAAAGCACGAACTGTAGATGCTGGAGTCAGAGACAACACAGTGCGGAGTTGAAGGAACACAGCAGGCCAGGCAGCATCAGAGGAGCAGGAAAGTTGACATTTTGGGTCGGGACCCTTCTTCAGAAAAAGCTGTGTTCCTCCAGCTCCACACTGTGTTGTCAAAGAACCGCAGATGCTTGAGATGCTAAGAAGAAACAAAGACAAAATTGCTGGTGAAACTCAGCAGGTCTGGCAGCATTAGTGGGGAGAAAGCAGAGTTAATGTTCTGAGTCCAATGATTCTTCATTAGAACTGATAGCAGCTAGGAAAAAGTGGTATTTATGCTGAAGATGGGATTGAGGCGGAGAGATGAGTGGATAGGAGGAGACAGAGCCCAGAGAGAATATGAAAGGATACGCACACAAGATGTTATTCATAGTAAGCCAGGACAGAAGAGAAGCTGAATAAATGATAATGAGAGCTAAGTATAGGAGAGAAAGGGTAAGCAGTGCTGAAAGCAAGCCACATCATGACAGGATCAGGGTGCGAGGTCGGGTAAAAACATAGAAGGACATAATCAGGCTCAAAAGTTACTGAACTCTATGTTGAGTCCTAGAGGCTGCAGGGTCCCTAAGTGCGAAATGAGATGTTGTTCTCCGAACTTGCGCTGAGGCTTGCATGAACACTGCAGCAAGCCCGAGATAGAGATGTTGCCCAGGGTGCTGGTAGGCAACTGGAAGCTCAGGATCATTTTTATGGAAAGAATGTAGGCATTCAGCAAAGGAGTCACCCAATCTGGTTTCCCCATTGTAAGCAGTAAGTGCAGTAGACAAGATTGAGTGAAGATAACAAGGTGTGGAGCTGGATGAATACAGCAGGCCAGGCAGAATCAGAGGAGCAGGAAAGCTGATGTTTCGGGTCTGGACCCTTCTTCAGAAATGGGAGAGGGGAAGGGGGCTCATAAATAAATAGAGAGGGGGGAGGTGATGATAGAAGGTGGATAGTGGAGCACATAGGTGGAGAGAAGATGGACAGGTCAGGGAGGCGGGGATGAAACTAGTAAAGGTGAGTGTAGGTAGGAAGTTGGGATGGGGGTTGGTCAGTGAGGAGGGAGTGGCGGATAGGTGGGAAGGAAGACGGACAGGTCAAGGAGGTGGGGATGAAGCTATTAGAGGTGAGTGTAGGTAGGAAGCGGAGGTGGGCGTTGGTCAGTGAGGTGGCAGGGGCGGGTAGGTGGGAGAGAAGACAGACAAGTCGGGGAAGCGTGGGGAGGGGGGGGGGGGGGGGGTGGGGAGGGTGCGGTGCTGGTCTTGGGATGAGGAGATTTTGAAGCTCGTAAAGTCCACATTGAGACCATTGCGTTGTAGGGTTCCAAGGCAGAATGTGAGGTGCTGTTCCTCCAGTTTTTGGGTGGCATCGTTGTGACACTGGAGGCAGCCCAGGATGGACATGCCATCCAGGGAGTGGGAGGGGGGAGTTGCAGTGGTGCGTGACTGGGAGGCGTTGTCGTTTGTCGGGAACCGAGCATAGGTGCTCCACAAAGCAGTCTCCAAGCCTCTGCTTGGTCTCCCCGATGTAGAGGAGGCCACATCAGGAACAGCGGACACAATAGACCACATTAGCGGATGTGCAGGTGAACACATGTTTAAGGTGGAAGGTTTTCTTAGGGCCTGGGATGGGGGTGAGGGGGGAGGTGTAAGGGCAGTTAGCACCTCCTGCGGTTGCAAGGAAAAGTGGCGGGGCTAGTGGGGAGTGTCGAGCAGACGAGGGAGTCGCGGAGAGCACGGACCCTGCGGAAGGCAGATAAGGGTGGGGAAGGAAATATATTCTTGGTAGTGGGGTCAGATTGCAGGTGGCAGAAGTGGCAGAGAATGATGCGTTGAATACGGAGGTTAATGGGGCGATACGTGAGGACAAGGGGAATTCTGTCTTTGTTGTTATTGCGGGGAGTGGACTCAGATGCGGGAAATGCAAGAGACGCGGTCGAGGGCGTTTTCAACCACTGTGGAGGGGAAATTGCAGTCCTTGAAAAACGAGGACATCTGGGATGTCCGGGAGTGGAACGCCTCATCTTGGGAGCAGATGTGGCAGAGGCAAAGGAATTGGGAATAGGGGATAGCATTCTTGCAGG